TACAAAGATGAAAATACCAATAATTACCCATTACTTGTCAGCAAGACAGACAAATCTCCATTTAATTTACTGCAAGTAAACAGTATCTTGAAAAATTTACCTGGCGTTCTTTATGTCAAGCAACTGGGAGTATCCTTCTTGAAAATTTTCTTTAAAAGTATGAAAGATGCTAATTCATTTCTGCTCAACAATGAACTACTTACTACTAACAACTGGTCAGCTAAAATTCCTTTTGATAATGTAGAGAGCCAAGGTCTAATAAGGGCTCCAATAGAACTCACTGATACAGATCTTTTAGAGAATTTATCTGCTTCTCATGAAATTATCGGAGTAAAGAGATTTATCAAGAAGAAAGAAGACGGTTCCATTATTCCTCTTCAATTAGTTTTAGTTACTTTTCACACCACACATCGTCCAGACCATGTCAAATATGACCACTTATGGTTCGATGTTCAAGATTATATCAAACCAATACCACAATGTTTCACCTGTTACAAGTTTGGACACAACAGGGGATCATGTAAGAGCAAACAAGTCTGTTCCATTTGCAGTGGAAATCATTTTTTCACTGAATGTACAAACAAAGAATCTATTAAATGTAGCAACTGCAATGGCCCTCATATAGCTGTTTCTAGATTGTGTCCTGTAAAGGTATCGAAGATAGAAGAAATAAAGCACAAAATATCTCGAAAAACATTTGCTTCTGTGGTATCAAGACAACCTCCCAAAATTACAGCTCCAGTTTCCTCACATACCAGTCCTACTCCTTTCGCATCAAGTCAGTATACTCCTTTGAATAAAACACCCCAAGGACGAGCTTTAGTAACTGATATATTAAATTCAGACACTGTTTTAAATGTAATCACTAAAACTGTTATAGACATATTGAAAAAATCACTAACACAGACGGGTAGTTGTGACCTTAGTAATAATTCAACAATTTCATCTAAATCAATTAAAGATCTCCTCATAAATAACTTTGCTTCATAATATGGATAGTATAGTTCTTTATGAGCAGATTAACATAATGCACTGGAACTCCCGTAGTATTTTACCTAAATTGGACCAACTTAAGCATTATCTTAGTAATTGTAGTAAACACATAGATATAATTCTTCTAAATGAGACTTGGTTAACTTGCTGCAAAACATTAAAAATTCCTGGTTTTACTATAATCCGTAGAGATTCAGATCACCCTCACGGGGGTGTAGCTGTAGCAATTAGAAATAGGTACAAATTCAATGTTATTAACACATACTCTTGTTATGATTTTCAAAATATTTTAATTCATATTGAGTCTGGTTCCTTTAAAATGCATATTTTGTCTGTTTATAGTCCACCTCCACCTAATGGGAAAATGCAAATCAAGCACTTATCAGATGTTTATCATAACATTAATTCTCAAAACTTTCTAATAATAGGTGACTTCAATGGTCACCACTCATCCTGGGGCTGTAGGAACAACGACCGGAGAGGTAATTTTATCCACTCATTTGCTGAAACGTGCAATTTAGTATGTTTGAATGATCACGAGATAACGACTCTTCCTCCTCATGGGCAGACAGGTAATATTTTAGATTTGGTTTTTGCATCTCCCTCGTTAAGCTCCAGCTGTAAATTCTCCGTTTCCGATGACCCCTTCAGTAGTGATCATTATCCAGTACTAGTAGAAGTAATTTTAGGGGACGGTTCTCGTCCACTTCACAAGCGAACATTGGATACTTCTTATCCAAGTCGTCCTTATTCTCTCGCGGATATTAATTATAAGAAAGTCGACTGGTCTGAATTCTCTAAGAAATGTGAAGCAATGTTTTTGGAATTTAAAATGACCGAAGACCCTGTTTTAGATTATTCTAATTTCGTTAGTAATGTAAGTGAAGTTTTGTTTACATTTCCGATGAAATACTCCCGGTGTGACAAGTTTTCAAACCGTAAAGCTACCATTTGGTGGAATGATTCTTGTAGTGAAGCTGTTATAAAGGCTAAAATCGCTCTCCTTTCATATAAAAAATATCCTAGTTTGGAAAACTATATAATTTATAAGCAGTTTGATGCTAAAAAGAAAAGAATTATAGCTGAACTGAAACAATTATCATGGTACACACTTTGTACTTCCTTTAATCGTATGACTTCTTCTAAAATAATTTGGGATCATATTCGTAGATTTAAATTTTCTAAAATTGGACATTCAAATAATTTACAGTTTTTTGATAACATCGCGAATGTTAACGATTTTTTAGAGAAAATAGTCTCGTCGAGTGATGTCAGCGATGATGATAATTCAGAGTTAGATTCTTTATTTTCTGGTCAGGGCTTACAATCGGCACACTGGCTTAAAAATCCTTTTCTTTTTAATGAATTAGACGCATCCTTGATCAATAAGCGTAATACATCTCCTGGACCAGATTTTATTCCTTATTTAGTGATCCAAAAATTACCGAGTAAAGTTAAGCTAGTTTTACTATCCATTTACAATTCACTCTGGGTTTCTGGTCTTATCCCTCCTTCGTGGAAGGATCAGCATACTATACCAATACTAAAACCTTATAAAGACTCTGATAGTACTGACTCATATAGACCAATCTCATTGACATCTTGTTTTTCTAAAATCTTTGAAACAATGCTTAAAAATAGACTAGAGTGGTTTGTGGAACATAACTGTCTCATTCCTGAAAACCAGTATGGTTTTCGAAAAGGAAGAAGTACCATAGATAGTTTAGGCTGCTTGATTGGCGACATTGCAAATGGTTTTAAAAACAATAAGGTGACTTTCGCAGTATTTTTAGATATTAAAGGTGCGTTTGACAATATTGACCACCTATTTTTTATTAAAAGTCTTAGTTCATTAGGTTTTCCAGGCTCTACTCTCCGATGGATTTTTAATTTTCTACACAGTCGCAGTATACATCTCAAAGTTAATAATAAGCTGTATGGTCCAAAATCATCATGTAAAGGAACACCACAGGGATCTGTAATCTCTCCTTTAATTTTTGTTTTATCTTTAGTAATGCTAATGAAAAAAATTCCAAAATGCGTTAAGTACTTACTATATGCTGATGATTTAATAATCTACTATAGTTGTTCTGATCCTAAAGAAGGAGAACTAATAATGAATGATTGTCTAGTTTTCTTGCATAATATTTTGACTACATACCTTAAATTAGAAGTTAGCGTAGAGAAAAGTTCATTAGTTTTATTCACAAAAAAAATGGTCCCACAGTATAACCCTGTAATTTTATATAATAATATAAAAATTCCCATGCAATCTTCCGTAAAATACTTAGGTATTTATCTGGATTCAAATCTTTCTTGGAAAACACACATAGATTATATATGTAAGAAAGTTGAATTGGGACTTAACATAATGAGGTCTTTGTGTGGAGTGTCTTGGGGCGCCGACCCTAAAATCCTTAAGACCCTATATATTGCAACAGTTCGAAGTCATTTTGACTATGGCTCTATGTTTTTTGCAAATGCTTCCGATAAGTTATTGAAAAAATTAAACATTTTACAAAATAGAGCGTTACGTATTATAACAGGTGCTTTGATGTCCTCTCCCATTAACTCTTTAGAAGTAGAAGCAGGAATTGTTCCACTCTCAGTTCGAAGAAGCTACATAACTGATAAATATTGTCTTAAACTGGTTACACGAGATAACGCTATTACTTCTAGGTACTTAGAAAATTATTTAATTCCTAATTTTAATCTGATTTCTTTATCAATTGTTAATTCATTACCTCTTTCTATATCATACTTAAACTTTGAGTTTCAGGATGTTGTTTATTGGTCCAATTTAGTGCCTTGTTTTAATTCCGATTTTTACACTGTTATATTGGACATGAAAATACATTTATCTCATTTTAATAACAAATTCGAATTTTTGGAATTTTTTAACTCAAAACTTGAATATGTCAAAATTTATACTGACGGCTCTAAAACCAGTGAAAGAACTAGTTTTGCTTTTTACGATGCATGTAAGAAAATAGGAAAAGTATTTGGATGTAATAATTATTTCTCTGTTTTTTCTTCTGAAGCTTTAGCTATATTATTTGCCTTAAAATACATATTGAACAATTGTCGCCATATTTACAAAAATGTATTGTTGTTATCTGATTCTATGAGTGTCCTACAAGCTATTTCAAAGAAATGTTTCAATGCATCAGACAACTACTTAATTCATGAAATAAAAAATTGTGTTAGAAGTCTGAATAACTTTGATGTAAATATAGAATTCGCTTGGGTTCCAGGTCATTCTGGCATATTTGGTAATGAATTAGTTGACACCCTTGCCAAGTCCACTATAAATCTAGCTATTTGTGATTACAAAGTTCCTGTATCTGACTTACTTTTGTTTGTTAAAGAAAATATGGTAAAACGTTGGATTGCTTTGCTCTCTTCCACTAGATTGATCAAAGGAAAATGGTTAGAGCAAATTGTTCCCATTCCATGTACTAACGCATGGTTTGAGAAACACACAAAATTTTTGGGTAGAAGTTTCATCACCACTTTGAGTCGGTTAAGAATTGGTCACAGCCGAATTCCGTCCCACTTACATCGTCTAAAGCTCAGGGAGGATGCTAGTTGTCCTCACTGTGGTTCACTTTTTTGTGATATTGACCATATTTTATTTATATGCCCAAAATTTTCAATACAACGTTTATTACTGATAACAGAATTTACTGAAATTTTTGAAAATGATATTCCGAACTCTACCCAAAAATTGCTTACCAATATTAAGACGTATTATCATATTTATAATTTTATTGTAAATACTTTTGGTCAAATTTAAGTTGTTTTTTTTTTGTTGTTGTTAATTTGTGGAGTATATATATTTTTCTTTTGTTATTTCTCATTGTATTCTTCTGGATGTTATGTTTTTGTTTTATCTGTAAATTTATAACAAAATTTGTAATATTACCTATGTAAGTCTCTAGAATACCATTGTAGTAATTCTTTTTTGCTGATGGCCCAGGAGCCAAAGCTGAATAAATTAAAAAAAAAAAAACCGTGCATGTCAAAAAGAAAAAGAAGAAGAACTGTCAATATCTAATTGTCAATGAATTTCCGCTTTCCGACCGCGCATCGCATGTTGCTGGGATAACAAAAGGTAAACAAAGAAGAAAATATTGTTCAACGACGAAACGCGATTTTTGAAAAGTAATTAAAACTGTGCTTCATTTCTAACATGGATGAAACCATTATTGTTCCTTCCCCCAATTGGTTCCAAGTTTCTGGCTTGGCTGTAGCTAAAGATGGATGGCTAATATATGGCGGACCAAGCAAAAGTCTATGTATTTTGGTACCAATTCCTAAAGAATATGATAGTGTTATTGTGGGGTCACAAAAATATCATGCACACGTGGTCAACAGAGCACACATGGAAAAGTAAGAGATTCCTCGTATTGATTTTGATGTTAGTCTAGCCGGACACTATTTTGGTAGGTATCTTGTTATTGTTAATATAAACACTTGCTTTGCTTTTATAGAATTGTAAGTGTTGATATTTGTCCGGGATGGCCAGAAAAACGATCAGTTTTGACCGGGAGTGCCGACGGATCTGTCAAGCAGTGGAATTTAGAACAATTACAATTGTGCCACAAAATGAAACCTTCACACAGTCACGAAGTGCATAGTCGAGAGAAAGAGGTACACAATTCATTCTTAATTCTAATAACTGGCAGACTTTACCTTGCCATACCTTGTGATAATGCCACAATGTTAAAATGAAATGAATATTATTTTTGTTTTCATTATAGGAAATAGCAGGAGTAGGTTATTCAAATGAATTGTATGCTATAACTGTTGGATGTTTTGGTAACATAGTAAAATGGAATCTCAACTCCAATGTGGTGAATAACTTTAACCATTTAAGAAATTTCAAACCAGTGTGTATGTCTTGTTCACCACATATCCCTCTGAATGTTGCTGTTGGCACAAAACAAGGAGTTGTGTTTGTTTTGGATTTGAATGGTGTGTATATATACAGTTTTCATAAATTTTAGTTTTTTTGTACCAAACATTAATCAAGGATTCATACCTAAATAGCCACCAAACTATTACAGCTAGATAATTAACAGAATACATGTTCCTATTGCTGCTGCGACAAATAATAAAAGGAAAAAAGTTTAAGACATACTACAGAGGTAACCTGTGTCACATCACAATAACCACAATGTGGCACACGCCTCTAACAGAAGCTCGGTTCTTCTCTGGCAAGAAGAATAACTGCCCAATATTATATTAATCATCAACTGATTACCACTACTAGACAAACTACTACTCTCTACTACTAATATTTTATTAAAAGCAAGCAAGATTTGTAATAAGTAAATTATTATGTAACAATTTTACAGGACCAGGTAAAATAATTTATAAAGTAAGAGGCCAAGATGATGAAATCGCAAACCTTAGTTGGTGCCCCCAATATGAAGTGTCACTTAAGAAAGTTCTTAAAGAATCTGAGAGGAGGGCTAGTCTCACTAACACAAATGAAGTTGATGGGGTAGTTAAGAATAATGAGGAAGAATTAGATGCATCTGGCTGTGGAAAAAAATTACCAGAAGATAGTTTTGATGAATCTCTTGTTGTTGTACCTGAGGATGATATGTTTGACATCTACAAAGACCATGAGGCAGATGAATTTGGTCACAAAAAGTACCAACCTGAAGAAATACTGGTTAAAGTTCATTCAGGTAGTAATGAACAAGATGATTATTTATCAGAATGCTTGAAACTAAAGGAGGTCATAATAAAAAGGAAAACTCAAGCTGATGCATCTATACAGTCTTTAGTTGATACTTTAGATAAGACTCATGTAGATAGCAGTAAAGTTGAAAATCTTCCAGGATCTACCACTAATTGTAGTGAATCAGAAACTCAGGATTTAAATGAAGATACAGAAGCTAGTGAACATATTCATAAGCATCTTCTAGCTACAATTAGTAAATATGGGTAAGGTTTCTTATAGATAAGTAATTAACAGAAAAAAAATATACATCTAAGATTAAATCTAACATGACAATTCTTTACAGTGGTGTTCGGATTTGGTCAAAGACTGGAAAGCTGATTGGAAGCTGTGCTGTTTCCAACACAAGTAACAAGCAATCTAAAGCCAAGTTACCCTTTTGGCCTACTTTGCTGTGGTACAAATCTGATGTCCTATTATTAGCTGATGGAAAGAATAACTTACTCGGGTGTAATCCAATAAAACTGGACTGGTAAGATTGTAGAATTTTCAATATCTTATATACTTATCACACAGTTGTATTAGATACAACATGATATTTAATAACCTAAGGTCCATAATATTATTGCTCAAATTGCAGCAAAAATAAGCTGGACTGGAATGTGGTTCATGCGCTTCACAAACGTGGAATATATTCCATCACATCCAATGCACCGAGGGTGCAATCTGGCACTGAAGCTAATGATGATTGGCATGTCTGGACAACTTCACAAGAACGTATTATAGTTCAATATTCTTTGAATAAACGTGAAAAAGTCGCCATACACCCCACATGTGGTGGATTTATATACACAGTTCTACCCTGCCCTTATGATGCTGGAAAGTAAGTTTATTTTATATAAGGTCATCATGTACGATATAGTTGAATTAATATGAAGAAAATGGCATTGTTGCTTCATTATTAATGAATGAGTGTATTACTTAAACTTGTAATTATGAAATAGAATTATATCATGTAGCATTTGTTATTCTAAATAAATAGTGCTGTCGTATAAAGCTTTTTGAGATTTTTTGAAGAACAATGTTAATGTATCTTTTCAGGGTAGCCATTAGTGCAGGAGATGGAGCAATCAGAATATGGAATGCAAGCATAACAGGAGAAGATGATGCTAAATTACAAGACAATCAAGTAACATGTTACTGGCAAAATGTTCTTGGGAAAGTTTTGGTGGCAGCTTGGCATCCTACTAAAGAGAACTTACTTGCATTCGCTACTGCAGAATCAAGGGTATAGTATCTTGTAAAACAATGAAATTTGTACAAATTATTCAGTCTATTTACACAAAGCCTTATAAACACATCAGCACATATTTCTTTGGGTAGCGACATCACAGTTGTTTAGCAAGGTACAAAATCTGAGACTGTATTAATAAAGTTTCATTTTCTTGAATGAATTCGATAAGAATGAGCTGCTTGTGGGTCTCTCGCCATCTCTTCGCATTGTAGGTAACCCATAATGTCAAATGAATACCTTTACAAGTATTAAACATTTGGATGAAGAAATAGCAATTATCGTGATTCGTTTTTTTAAGCATTAAATGCTTAAAAAAACGAATAACCATTGCCATTTGACATTGTGTATTGCAGCCTAAGAAGGGCTAGAGAAAATTTGACACGTAGCTTAATGGTATAGCGCCCGGATAGCAAAGTGTGCGGGTTCGAGTCCCATCTGCGGACTGAATCGCATGGATATTTTTCTAGTAGAATTTTCTTAAGATTTAAACATTAGCAGGTAAATCCTTAAAACAAAAACAAATAACTATAATTTAATTAGTTTGTCAAAACGTGTGCAAAACAAATCAAAATCAAATAATTTATTGCACTCATGTGGTTATATAGATGGTTTCAAGTTTAGTATATTTATTAATATTATTAGGTAGGGTTGATCGATACCAGCGGTCGAACAGAGAGGCCAGCGAAGGCGTTAGTGCCGGCGCTGCGAGGCCCCGTCTACTCCATCTCGTGGGGCGAACGGAACGAACTGTATGCCTGCGCGGCCGGCGAGCTAGTCGTCTATGACACTGATAACTTGTATGATCGTAAGTTTATATGATTTTGATTTTATTTTATAGAGGATTATTTTACGAGTTGCTCCGTTTAGTTTATACATTTTTTATCACGATCAAATTACACGATTCTTTTGCAATAATGTGCATGTAGCGCTATTGTACTTATGTGCATGCATCATTCTCCCAGCGCCGCGGCAGGTGAAGGTGGTGGTGGAGTGTCAGGCACGGGAGGTGAGCTGCGTGCGGTGGTCACCGCGCGCGCTGCTGTGCGGCACCAACGCCGGCGCAGTGGCCGCGCTCACGCACTACACACCGCACGCGCTACTGGCCGCCACGCACGTCTACAAGTATGTGTGTGTGTATCGCTCTGTGAGCCCCTCGCCCTGTGAGTGGGTGGTGGTGGTGGTGGAGTGTCAGGCGCGGGACGTGAGCTGCGTGCGGTGGTCACCGCGCGCGCTGCTGTGCGGCACCAACGCCGGCGCAGTGGCCGCGCTCGCGCACTACACACTGCACGCGCTACTGGCCGCCACGCACGTCTACAAGTATGTGTGTGTGTATCGCTCTGTGAGCCCCTCGCCCTGTGAGTGGGTGGTTGTGGTGGTGGAGTGTCAGGCGCGGGAGGTGAGCTGCGCGCAGTGGTCACCGCACGCGCTGCTGTGCGGCACCAACGCCGGCGCTACTGGCCACCACGCACGTCTACAAGTATGTGTGTGTGTATCGCTCTGTGAGCCCCTCGCCCTGTGAGTGGGTGGTGGTGGTGGTGGAGTGTCAGGCGCGGGACGTGAGCTGCGTGCGGTGGTCACCGCGCGCGCTGCTGTGCGGCACCAACGCCGGCGCAGTGGCCGCGCTCGCGCACTACACACTGCACGCGCTACTGGCCGCCACGCACGTCTACAAGTATGTGTGTGTGTATCGCTCTGTGAGCCCCTCGCCCTGTGAGTGGGTGGTTGTGGTGGTGGAGTGTCAGGCGCGGGAGGTGAGCTGCGCGCAGTGGTCACCGCACGCGCTGCTGTGCGGCACCAACGCCGGCGCTACTGGCCACCACGCACGTCTACAAGTATGTGTGTGTGTATCGCTCTGTGAGCCCCTCGCCCTGTGAGTGGGTGGTGGTGGTGGTGGTGGAGTGTCAGGCGCGGGAGGCGAGCTGCGTGCAGTGGTCACCGCGCGCGCTGCTATGCGGCACCAACGCCGGCGCAGTGGCCGCGCTCGCGCACCACACACCGCACACGCTACTGGCCGCCACGCACGTCTACAAGTTTGTGTGTGTGCATCACTCTGTTAGCCCCTCCCTCTGTGAGTGGGTGGTGGTGGTAGTGGAGTGTCAGTAGGGACACGATATCGAATAGAAAGTATCAATACTGTACTCATGAGTAGTATCGGCAAAAAAGTATCTACTACAGTACTCGTAAAAGTATCGATACTTCAAAGTATCGAGTACATTTCATAGGGTCTTATCGGAGCCTCGGTGGCCTGATGAGCAAACCCCCCCCCCCCCCCCCGTGTTAAAATTGAAAGAAAAGCAATCGAATTTTATTATAGTACGTATAATCAAATACAAAAAAAGGACATGTAAAATTCACAAATTGCTATATTATATAATGAAAAGAAAATAGCTGTGATTTCTGACACTAAAGAAGTGTTCATTAATATTACATTCATAATTAAAATGTTAATTAAAAAGATCGAAATCTTAAACAATTTAAAAGTATGAAACTTTTCAGATTTGTTTCAAATTAAACTTACTTTTCTTGAATTTTAATCATTAAAAAACATTATACCCACTTATGTTAACTTGAATGTGACACGTAGTTAACGGCTGCCATTGGCATGCTTCACTCAAGATTATAATTATAGAAGAGGTTACGTCCGTCTTTTTTTCAGGTGGTTTCAAATAGGTATACACAGCACAGACAGAATAATAGTGTTACACTTGAATAAATCAAATACAGTCAAGCGAAAAGCACAATAAACGGCGAATCAATCACAGTTCCTAACAATATGGTCGCTAAATAAATAACTATGAAACAAAACAAAGCGCAAAATAAACACAGTCACAGATTGGAAAGAATTTGAATATGTCAGTTACTGACTTTATAACAACGCAATAGGGCATTTGACAGTATTAAAAATAAAGTGCCAAAATAACGAAAAAGATATTAGTTTTCTTATCTATTGTCACGTGATCCAAAACGCTTAGGATTGGCGGAGCCTAAAATGACGTCACACGCAAGTAAACTTCCGGTCAAAGTGACATTACATTGTATCGTTTGACGTTTTAATAACAGTCGTGTGACGTCACACACTAGTAAGACGCCATATTGTCCAGAGAAACGTTTTCGCGGCAACTTGAAAATGGGGTTTTTGATTTGGTTATTTTTACTGAAATACACGACAGAATGATGAATATCCACTTTTATCCAAATTTTTACCTTTAAAAATTTGGATAAGCGCCTCATATTGATGGCAACGCCATCTTGTTATATCATAGCAAACTTACCTTCTAAAACGTTCCATAGGGTATTTGACAAGTTATACGCAACGATCTCACGATATTGACTAATGTTTATGGAGTCTGTAAAAAGTGGATATTCATCACTCTGTCGTGTATTTCAGTAAAAATAACCAAATCAAAAACCCCATTTTCAAGTTGCCGCGAAAACGTTTCTCTGGACAATATGGCGTCTTACTAGTGTGTGACGTCACACGACTGTTATTAAAACGTCAAACGATACTATGTAATGTCACTTTGACCGGAAGTTTACTTGCGTGTGACGTCATTTTAGGCTCCGCCAATCCTAAGCGTTTTGGATCACGTGACAATAGATAAGAAAACTAATATCTTTTTCGTTATTTTGGCACTTTATTTTTAATACTGTCAAATGCCCTATCGCGTTGTTATAAAGTCAGTAACTGACATATTCAAACTCTTTCCAATCTGTGACTGTGTTTATTTTGCGCTTTGTTTTGTTTCATAGTTATTTATTTAGCGACCATATTGTTAGGAACTGTGATTGATTCGCCGTTTATTGTGCTTTTCGCTTGACTGTATTTGATTTATTCAAGTGTCACACTATTATTCTGTCTGTGCTGTGTATACCTATTTGAAACCACCTGAAAAAAAGACGGACGTAACCTCTTCTATAATTATAATCTTGAGTGAAGCTTGCCAATGGCAGCCGTTAACTACGTGTCACGTTTCAAAAATGCAATCAGCTTGCTATATTTAGTTATGTCAACTTCGTTGTAAATATTGAGTGTACTTTTAATCATGGAGTATTTAACCCACATACTTGTAGGTCGTAGTCAAAGGAGAGGTTCAACCTCCTTGGTCCAGCTGGAGGTTGTATAGGTGTATCGTTATGATTAAAAAGTTATGTTGTGTTACAGGTGTCTATACAAGACCTGTATCGTAATTAAACTTTGTTTTTATTATTTTTGGCCTGTACGTAATGTTTGTCATAAGCATTTTGTTTTCAGTTTAAGAATCTTTGTATTATAGTATCAGAGTAGATAAAATAAACATTATTGCACAAGACACAATTTTATTTAATACATTACTTATAAAACAAATGGAAGTCGTCCTTTTGTATTTGCGAAGTGGGTGATAATATTTAAGACGTCTGTTAATATTTCCGGGTGAATGTTTAGAAGAGCTAAACCTGTTAATCGCTCTTCTAACATGTTAGCTCTCAACCACGTTTTTACACGCCTAAGCGTAGAAAAGGATCGCTCTGCTGTCGCACCACTTATGGGAAGAGTTACCAGAATTTGGAGAAATATCTTTATATTTGGGTATAAATTATCAGCACAAACTTCGATAGTAGAAACTGTAGAAACTACACACTTAGGAATTTTCGTATCAGCATTTTCTGTGACCTCCCGTTTCCACTTTTTAATCCATAGCTGATACTCTGTAACGACAGTGGCAGCAGGAACATTTAAAAAATGGGAATAGTATTCAGATAGTTTCTTGACAATAAGAAGATCTTCTTCTGTATATTCAGATTTCGGCATAAAAATGCCTAATCCAAACAAGTTTATTGTATCCGCAGAAAATCGGTCTTGTAGGTCAGTAATTATGCTATCTATAAGTGGAATATAAACAGTTCTCCGGAAGTGTTCCTCGTTATTTCCTTCATAATTATTGCGAAGTGTCAGCTGAGGCGCAGTACGAGGTTTCATAATAACAATATCCAGCTTTTCAGCTAGCTCTTTTGCCTCAACAAATAAATTGTGAAAATTTCCTTCAGCATTTTCCCGTTTACGTAGCAAAACTTACATCGTATCTTTAAGAGCCTCTGATGCTACCTTTAAATCTAATGTTGTTTTTTGTAAGAAGCGGCCAAGGGCAGACACAGTTGCACCTGAAATTTTAACAATAACTTAATGAATAATAAATGTATTTTAAAAAATTGCTACAAATAAAGAAATTATTTTTACCTAGTAAATCGGATAAGCAAATAGATGCAATTATAAAATCGGAACTGCATAAAGCATGTCGCAAACAATTAGCATCAGATGCAGATTTGCTGTCTCGCCAGGTTGAAATTTTAGTAAGTGCATCACATATTTTTACCAATGAGTCGCTTTGAAATTGTAAATAACCGTCGTCGCGTTCTACCCATCGCGTGTCACATAAACTTTCCAGTTTACTACCAAGAACTTCTTTAAAAACTCTGCTCCTCTTGGCCGAAGCGTTAGAAAATGCCACTAACTTTTTCATTGTTGCTGATGCATTTCTGCAACTAGTGACATTCGATGACTTTGCTAAAGAGTTATTGAGGATATGATTATTACAAGGGCATTTTCGGGCATGGGTAGCAATTTTGGTCACTTCGCTTACAGCTCCCTTAAACTCAGACGACATAATGGAGCAACTGTCTGTGCCAATTCCAACGCAGTCTGATAAATCTAAACCAAATTTCATGCAGAGATCTATGAAAATATGCGCCAAAGCAACACCTGTAAGCTTAAGTTCATCGTTATGCACATCTTCTTTCTATTGCTGAGTAAGCATCACAAAATAAAATAAAATTCTCACGAATGACATTATTCTTAAGATATCGAAGTGATAAACTGAGTTATTCTGTCGCTGAAATTTCGGTTGTTTCATCGAATATGGTAGCAAAATACATTATCTCTTATCTATTAGACAAGTCCGTCCGTCCGTCTGTCTGTGGTGCTGTTTCAGCGGCCAAACCGTAAGAGATAGATAAAGAGAATATTTAAGTTATAATAAGTTAAGAATAGTCTGATAAGACTACAAACCGGATTTGAGTAACGTAGCACTTCCGGTTTTCGAGAAATCACGAATTTTAAATGAAACCACACAAAATCTCCGAAGTTCTCAATTAATTATATACATTTTTTTTTTAAATCAGGTTTTGGTGAACATTTGGTTCACTGGTTTGCTAGTTTACTATAGTTTCTTGTATCTCTTCTTTACACAAATCAAGTATTTCGTTTGGTATCCTCTTATGTATGTAGCATTTGAGCTTTCTAAATGTTGTTTTAACATTACATAACCTGCATTGATCCTAAACTTTAATAAAGCCCGAAAAATTTCCTTCATTCACAGGACTAGCAGTATCATCAGAGTCTTTATAGCAAAGCGGACCTGTATCACGATGACCTCTTAGGGCAATGTTTTGTTGTCCACATATAATAGGTGCTAAACGATCCCTTTCCTCTTTTACTTGTTTTGCTCTTTGTGACGATATTTGATTTCTTATTTCGATTGAAGGATTATGGAAACTAAGGAGAAAGTTTTTTCCAGCTTCTACTGTTTTATTATGGTACTGATTTTTTTTGTGGACAACCAAGGCACCTTTATCGCCCAAAAGATCATCAAAAAATTTTAACGGCTCTCTAACAAATTTTTTTAATGGCATCTGAAGACCTTTTCCTGCAGTGGAATTAGCAAATAACACACAGTTTGCAATAAAGACTACGATCTTTATGTGAAAGAACCAACCAGCGATATTTATCAAAATGAGACCGATGAGCATACTTCCTTTCCTTTTTTACGCACGATACTGTAAACTGGAAAATCATAATTTATATGTGGGATCCAATGTCTTTCCAGCAGTGCAGCTCTCGTAAAGTCGCTTAATCTTAAATTTCCTTACGATTAAAATGATAGCGAATATTAGTCTCAGAAAATGTTAAAAATGTTTTTTTCAGATAAAGCAATGTCGTTAGTATGAGATTTGTTAGGACAAGCCAATGCATCATTTCCGGAAGGAACACATTCATTAGAAGGATTAATAAGAGTGTTTTTAGTAGTATCTGGGATCACACGCTCATCTGTATCATTTGTTTTTATTTTTTTGTACGTAGTTCATAAAAACACCAGTACCTAGATGTCAGCTATCTATAAAATCGGTGTTAGGGGATACCTAGAAATTTCTTTTTATTATTTGGCAAATTTTTGAGATTTTTCAATTCGACCTTAGATTGGCGTCATAGGGGACATGACCCCCCCCCCCCCCCCCCTTCGGACCGCGTCTATACATATTAGATATGTAGGATAAACTGAAGCTCAAGATTTGACTCTCCATGATTGATACACGTGGAAGAATATACGCAATAGGCAAAAATTCTCTTCTGAGGTTTTATGGCAAAAGGAATATCACTCAATTCCGTTTATTATTTGTCCAAACTAATTAAAAAAGATAAACTAATTATTTAAACAAACACTTTTGATTTCAGCAAAATGATTTACATGGTTGAATGGCATCCCCAACAAACATCAAGTTCTAGTGAAGAGTCTCCCTTTAAAAACTTGATTGCTGTATGCTCTATGGATAAGCAGAACACAATAGTAATTTTAGATTATATTGAGAAAGAAGGTACGAACCAATCTGAGAATAATCAAGTGCTGAGAAATATATCATAAGTCGTTAAAATATACTTAAAGGAATCTAAATTTTCAGATGGTAGTAAACATCTTCAGACATGGAAAACTTTAAGTGGCCATAGGCTACCTGTGTTCCAAGTAAATTGGAACCCGCATCGCGATGGTCAGTTACTATCCACTTCACAAGACTGCACTGTTAGGGTAAGTTAGTTTTGTATTATATGATCAAAACTAATGTACTTGAATGTAACATTGATTGAATAAAAAAATGCTTAATAAATTAATTACAATATGTCAACCTTAAGAGGTTGACATATTGTAATTAATTTGTTTTTAGAAATTGATGGTCTTCTAACTTTATAGTCACATTAAAGTTTGAAACTATAATGATAATTTATGGGAAAATGCTATGATCAGATTAACAATGCTCATCGATAGCCCTCTCGGTAGGGCTATGTTTTCGTTACTCCAGTCAATTGCAACCTCTTGTGTGACGTAATTTTCCGTATTTGTGTTGTTGCAATGTATGATTAACTTGATAAAGTAAGCGCTCCACTAAAGTCGCGTTGTTTCATCGATAGTAAAGGACATTCACGAAATCGCCCCAGCATGCCCAAAAGAATGTACTTCACTATTATTTTTTTGACTTATTAGATTACTCTAGACTAGATTTACAATCTAGGGATTTAATAAAAAAAATAGGGTCTTTGTTGCGTAAATCGGGAGCACAGAGTCTACCACCGCTCCATGCTCCGCTTATCGCAGCACAGACATTATTGTTTTCTATACGATTTAACTGTAGTAAAACTAGCTGTCCCAGCGAACTTCGCACCACCATCAAAAAATAGGGGTTGGTGGTAGAAGGGTGAAAATTTAGGGTTGTATGTATTTTTGTATGATGTATCATAAAAAATAAAAACAAAAAAAAACCCCTTAACATTTAGGGGGATGAAAAATAGATATTGTCCGATTCTCAGATCTACTGAATATGCATATAAAATTTCACGAAATCGGTCGAGCCGTTTTGGAATAGTTCAATTACGCACACCATGACACGAGAATTTTATATATTAGACTAGCTGACCCAGCGAATTTCGTACCGCCATAAAAATAGGGGCAGGTGGTAGAAGAGAACATTTAGGGTTGTACGTATTTTTTAATACCACATTATAAAAAAATAAATATTGGCCAAAAAAAAATTAGGGGTGTGTAACGTAGTGTTCTATCAATTTCCTGGGATAACATTCCTCCTAACCCATATCAGAACACTACGTTACAATACCCAATAGTTTGAATTTTGGCGCGAAGACGCATTGTAGGTTTCAGAACACTACGTTACAGGTGGACAACCATTATCACTTAAGAATATGAAAAATAGATAGTAGCCGATTCTTAGACCCACGGAATATGCATATAAAATTTCATAAAAATCGGTGAGGCCGCTTCGGAGGAGTATGGTAACTAACATTGTGACACGAGAATTTTATATGTAAGATTGTACTATCGATGAAACAACGCGGCCTAACTCGTTTCTTTCCGCTCGGCATGGGTAGGTATGGGATGCTTCGAGCGGGGAGTGCACGTCCATATTCGCGGGGCACGGCGCCAGCTCGCTGTGCGGCGCGTGGATCGCCTTCCCCGCGCTGGCGGGCGCCGCGCTCTCCGGCGGTTCCGACTGCTGCCTGCGACTGTGGGCCGCGCCTCAGCACGCCGCGGGCCTCTACGACGGTACCGCTTTCAATATTTTTTTTTAGTTCGTTTTTTCCCTATTGGGAAAGGCAAAGGCAAAGTCATGCAGCTATCGTCTTATTTTTGTATTAATCTTACTTTTTTTTACAATACCTTTTTTTATTAAAATGTGGGTGTGACGCATTCTAATGTTTCTAGGAGTGTTTGGCACAAAATGTATCGAGTCAGCATTTTCGACAAGCTTCTGTAGGTAGTCAACACTACAATAAACATCCACTTGACCGATATAGCGAATATTTTAAAGATTCTGCGACGACGACCTCCGTGGCCGAGTGGTTTGTACGCCGGGTTTCATGGTGTCGCCGACTCGAGAGGTCCTGGGTTCGAATCCCGGTGGGGGCAGATGTTTGTGTGATGAATACGAGCATTTGTACTCCAGTCATGGATGTTTAATATCTATTTTCTACATAAATATACTTATATATGTACAGTTTATGTATTCTATCCGTTACCCTAGCATCCCATAACACAAGCCTTATAGTGCTTACTTTGGGGCTAGGCTAATTGGTGTGAGTGTTGGAAATATTTATTTATTTATTATTATTTATTTATTCTGTTAATTCTTCAGTTGCGCAGACGATTGTAACACAAAATCACACCAATTTTATTTCACAATATCCACTATGAACGAATTTAAAGAATAATTAAAATATGATGCCAAGCGCACTCGATGAAATCCCGCCAAAAACTCCCCCCGCCTTCTTTCAGCTTTAGCTGCGTTGACACGATCAGGATACTCTCGGAGCGAGTGCTCTCGTACGCATCGGCTTCATACGAGTGTACAGGTACAGTTGTTAACACACATCAAAATTTACTAGTTTTCAATTACATTCAAGATCGAGACTACTCTGATCGTGTCAACGCGGTTTTAGGCTGTAACAAGTTTCCAATAAATTTATATGATTTTATACATTTTGTTAGTTTGAGATTCTCTTTAAATACATGCCATTAATCTAGGTTCATCTGAGTCACACACTCATTTCTCGTTATAGCCAATCTACACGACGTAGCACCTAAAAAAGACAAGAAGAAGAATAAAAAGAATAAAGAAAAGAAGGCAAAGAAAGAAGAGGCGGCAGATAAAGAAGAAGAAGAAGCAGTGACAGATGAAGGGAATGAAACGGAGGCGGCGAGCGAAGCCAGCAAAGTGAAAGCGCCAAAGAAGTTCTTGCTGCCAACCATTTTCAAACAAACGGCTTGTCACTGCAAAATACCGGGTGTGAAATTAATGCTCCAGAAATATTTAGAGAAGACATCCGCAGACAAATCGGGTGATTTCAAAGCGAATGTCGAAGGAGAATTTGATCTGGACTTTATTAAAATGTTTGGCACTATCAACGAAGTCAACGAGCTCTTGGATAATGAAAGTGAGTATGACTGTGTTTAATATTAGGTTACTGATGTCGATTCTGGCATGATTCTCTAAATTTAAAACTGAATTTAATATCAGTCTCTAAGATGACATTGTTGTCTTTAAGTTAAGGTTTAGATATCATGATGCCAGAATCGGACCCATTATATTACTAATTTCTTGCTGAGTATAAGATTAGTAAATTCTGGTGTTTTAAATGTTCGGAAAAAAATACAAAATAAAATTTTGTTCTGTATTTAGTAGTAGTAAAACATAACATAATAACAAAAGCAGTTAAATGCGAAAGTGTGTCTATCTGTCTGTTCGATTTAGATGACATTCGATAAAAAGATAGTTTTGAGTCCCGATAAAGAAGTAAAGGACATAGGATTATTTTTTTAACCAATTATCATCCTTAAAGGGTTTGTATGGGAAACAAACCACGCAGACGAAGTCGTTGACACCTGTTAGTAAGTTACAAAAAGAGAAAATTAAATGGAATCGTTAATTTTAGTGAATCGTCACGAAGAGAGAGGCAATACGGAAGCATGGGCGCTGTTGTGCATGTTCCGCGGCCAAGTGGACAAGATGATTCAGTTCGCGAGCCAGCGGGATCTGCTGTGTCCGTTCCTACTCAGCCTCGCGCCCTGTGTGTCGTTCAAGTGAGTGGACAGATGATACAGTTCGCGCACCAGCGGGATCAGCTGTGTCCGTTCTTAGTCAGTCTCGCGCCCTGTGTGTCCTTCAAGTGAGTGGACAGATGATACAGTTCGCGAGCCAGCGGAATCTGCTGTGTCCGTTCTTAGTCAGCCGCGCGCCCTGTGTGTCCTTCAAGTGAGTGGACAGATGATACAGTTCGCGAGCCAGCGGGATCTGCTGTGTCCGTTCTTAGTCAGCCTCACGCCCTGTGTGTCCTTCAAATGAGTGAACAGATGATACAGTTCGCGAGCCAGCGGGATCAGCTGTGTCCGTTCCTGCTCAGCCTCGCGCCTTGTCTGTCCTTCAAGTGAGTGAACAGATGATACAGTTAGCAGGCCAGTGGGATCTGCTGTGTCCGTTCCTAGTCAGCCTCGCGCCCTGTGTGTCCTTCAAGTGAGTGGACAGATGATACAGTTCGCGAGCCAGCGGGATCAGCTGTGTCCGTTCCTACTCAGCCTCGCGCTCTGTCTGTCCTTTAAGTGAGTGAACAGATGATACAGTTCGCGAGCCAGCGGGATCTGCTGTGTCCGTTCTTAGTCAGCCTCACGCCCTGTGTGTCCTTCAAATGAGTGAACAGATGATACAGTTATCGATCCAGCAGGATCTGCTGTGTCCGTTTCTACTCAGCCTCGCGCCCTGTGTGTCCTTCAAGTGAGTGGACAGATGATACAGTTCGCGAGCCAGCGGGATCAGCTGTGTCCGTTCCTGCTCAGCCTCGCGCCTTGTCTGTCTTTCAAGTGAGTGAACAGATGATACAGTTAGCAGGCCAGTGGGATCTGCTGTGTCCGTTCCTAGTCAGCCTCGCGCCCTGTGTGTCCTTCAAGTGAGTGGACAGATGATACAGTTCGCGAGCCAGCGGGATCAGCTGTGTCCGTTCCTACTCAGCCTCGCGCTCTGTCTGTCCTTTAAGTGAGTGAACAGATGATACAGTTCGCGAGCCAGCGGGATCTGCTGTGTCCGTTCCTACTAAGATTCGCGCCCTGCGTCTCCTTCAAACGAATTACAAGATGATTCAGGGATGGGATGATTTTATGCGAGCCCGCCTTCAACATTTATTTTATTTTAATTACTAGAGACTTCTTGTAGGTTTTTTTTTCACTTAAACTGCTTCATGAATATTACAGTTTCTTTTGTACGTTTATTTATAAAAAAATGTTATTGCATTATGTTGATTTTTCTTTGATGATTTTACCATGTTTCAGATACTGGAAAGATGCAACGCAACTTTATGTGGCACAGATTGACAGATTAGTTGCCAAAGGAGAGGCGGAGAAGTTGTATGGTACTTATTTTTTCTAAACTGTAATCACTAACAAAACTAGTTGTACGGGGAGCCCGTAACATAAGAACTGATAAAACTGATGAAATAATAATACTGTATATAACTTTGAAACTAGGATATATTTACTAGCAGTACGGTTAAAAGAATCAAAGTTATCTTTCTGCTGGTCTGCGTCCGGTTCAGGGAGAGTAATGTTAATGATGTGATTTATCTGGGAGACCTCTGGAATCGGTATGCTTGACCTCAAACTAATCCGATCCTCACTTTGTCCATGTGAATAAATAAGGGCATGAGCAGTTTTAATAGTGCAACCTTGATTTATATTAAAAAAACCGGCGTTGCTTATTTGCAGCGGTGAAATTTGATCGGCGCATATAATTTTCAATGGGCACTTATCGCAACAGAAATAGAAATAATTATTTAATTTGTTTAGCTCGACCCATATGTTAATACGGCATGTGTATGGCCTTAGAGCAGTTTTATACTCTCGAAATGAAGGTGTAGTTTCACAGAAATTCTGATTATCTATTTATTATTAATATAGGTGTCTGTAGGTGACACAATGTTATATGAGAGGTTCTCTGAATACACGAATTTAGTTCCATCTTTGTTATTTTGATAAAGGATTCATGTTTAAGATTGACAGCGACATACTCTGATACTGGCACGACTAATATCTCCTTGTTGTCGACAATAAGGCGAGGTATTGCGATAAGTTTTAAAATTCGTAAATTTCTACGCCACACAGTGGTCCGGATTTTGAATATAGTGGTCTTGGACCCAAGGTTAATATTTTGCGCTGAAAAAATTCATGCGGACAGATAAGTGAACGCTCATCAACTTTTGTTCTAGCAGTTTTCATGTAATCGTATATTTTCGCGAAAAAAATATTTAAGAAAAAAATGTATGGAGCGAAACTGAAATACTTTTTTTTCTCGAAATGTTTAAAAGTGTTAGTAATGAAACCATTTGTAAATTATTGTACTACATTTATTTATTAATTTTACCAACAAATCTTTTGCATGCACTTGCAGCTTGTGCGTTTATGTGCAGTTTAACTTAAAATATATTATATATAAAAAATACATGAAAACAATACTTTTTTAGTCTGTTAAGTGGTTTTGGGAAAGTACAATACTAATATATGCTTGTCTATATCAACACAGACATCAAATTACAAAATAAAATAATTATTGAAAATTGTTTATTGCATAATTCTTACAATAGAATGTAATAATCGAAGGTGGTGGTTTTTGTGGAAGGTACTTTTAATTTCAAAAATTATAAATTAGTACACTTAAACAAGAATTATAAAAACATAATAAAATGGTACAAGTAAACTAAACATACAAAATAATACAAAGTAATAAATTAATATAAGAAAACTTAAAAATCATTCCAAAGGATCTCGCCCATTATGTGGAGCTTCTTTTTCTTCATCTTCAACTTCTATTATTTCTTCTGTTATTAATAACTGCATCGCTTCTGGAAACATACTTGATGATTTAAAATTGGCGTATTTAGGTTTCAGATGAGATATATATGGATCCGAAGATATCAAAAAATTGTATATAGGGTGAAATTGAATGTTTCTATGAAACTTCGTGAGATTGTTGGGTTACGTGTATAGAGTATGCCTGTTTTTTTCCGGATTTTTTTGAAGTATATTTTTTTCATGTATTTATTTATAAATTGTGTATTTTTATGTCCTTTCCTCCTTTTGAGTAGTTATTCATTTTAAACAAACAAACTTACATATCCAGTGAAATACAACTAATAAATAAGCACTTCTAAAAAACGGAAAAACATTTAAATTCCACCGCGGTTCAACGACCGATCGCGCCCGCCAGCCGTTGAGTGAGTAGGTACCTCTACACAGAGCTCAGCTGACTCGTTTGATTCCACACAATACAATAAAATCGTCTTAGATGCCTTTATTGAAATTGAAATAATAAGCACAAATGTCATCTTCTCTTAAGCAGAGAAAAACTTTAAAAGTTAATAATAATTTTGTCACGATTGGAAATAGGCAAATGTTAAACAAAAAGAAATACTTATTGCAGTTCAATACTTGGGTCAGAATGAAATTTATAACCAGGTATTCAAAAGTACTTACGAGACCGGCGATGTAGGTAGGTACAACGAGGAACGAGGAACATATTCATTTTTTTCACTAGAACTTTTTATCAAATCAATCACACTGGTAGTACACAATTAGTTGTTTCAAATCAAAAAGTATTTACACTAGCAATAAAAAGAGACTTAAATTATTATCTGCAAAATTGTTGCTCTAAACTACCATTTTGCTGCAAACAAAGGTAGGCACGTTTGCGGACGTGTCTTTTCACCTTTTTTAAAGTGTCCCTATCACTCACTGCACAAAATGCAACTTCTATGGTTTGGGGACTCATTCGTAAACCAAACCTACTTCGTCACACTCGCGATAGCAGTACACATCTCTAAATATTCTTGGTTTGTATATCGAGGCATAATGAAATTATCACAGTGTATGTCACTAAGTCAAAAGATGCGCACGCCCACGCGCGATTGATATACTTGCGACTGCGCTTTGCATGCAATCAAAGCAAACCACCGCGTGCGGGGAAGTGGGGAGGTGGGCGGAATTCACATCAATCATCAAAGACGCCGCAATCGGCGGGATCGCTGCATGTTTCTTGCCAGCGTGCGGTGCGTCGCGCCGCCCGCCCGTGCTTGCCGCAAAACAACATATTATTATGTGTGTGTGACTGTGGCTGTGATTAAATGTGTTGGGAATTTCATGACGTGGGCAAATCAGACACGAAGAGTTCCTTCCTTCATTAAGCTCGTAAGTTATACCGATTTGCTCTGTATGATTTATCCCAATTTTAAATAAGCCGTTTGTGCTTAAGTTTTAATTAAACGAGGCAACTAACATTAACAGTAAAAAAGAAGTTCTTACACTAACAGACAGGCTTTACCGATTTAAAATCGTGACAGTCATATTAACTTTATAGGATTTTTAATTGCTCTAACAGAAGATTTATTTTATTGATTAATTACCTGTGCTTTATGAAATAATATTCAAAGGTATTGTGTATCAGTGAATAAATAATTATAATATAGCATCTAAGACTATTTTATTGTAATGTTTTTAAATAGTGTGGAATCAAAGCGGAGAGTAGGTAAGCGCCGAGTCATCTGTGCGTGTAGTAGGTAAGCGCCGAGTCATCTGTGCGTGTAGTAGGTACCTACACAGGCGGCCGCCGGTCGTCGCCCCGACCGGCGCTGATCTCGACTGGAGGCATAATGAAGGCATTCATTAAGTTTCCGTTTTTTTAGGAGTGCTTATTTTAAGTTGCTTTATAACTTCCATGTAGACGTGTTTAAAATGAATAATTACTCATAAGGAAGAAATGACAAAAAAATAACCAAATAAAAAATTAAAAAACGAAAAAAAAAATATTTTACAAAATCCGAAAAAAATCAGGCATACTCTATACACGTAACCCAACAATCTCACGAAGTTTCATAGAAACATTCAATTTCACCCTGTATAATATCTTCATTATTTTGAAATCTTCCTGTTTTTCTCGTGTGGCGCTCTCTGGTATTTCGGAAGTCCTTATTTCTTGCATTTGCTGCTTCTTCTGACTAAATTCCTATAGGAAGACAAGAGAAATGTTTGCATATGTCTGCGCCATGTATCAGCTTTTTGTGTACGCTGGAAGGCATGTTGTACCAGGGGTAGTGATGTACAAAGAGTTCAGCAGTCTCCTTGCAGTATCCACGGAATCGATCGATATTGACAGCCTTTCCAGAAGATAACACTTGCAATATGACTGCGAAGTGTTTTATCAAATCAGCATCAATCTTCGTTATTTGAGCTGTCTTTTCGTATTCTCGGAAAAATCTTCTGACCGTGTTCCCATCATTTGTAGTTCCAAAGCCCTGCTTCACAAGATCAATCAAAAGTCCCATCTGTTGTTTGAACTCCGATTGCACCATGTTCTTTCGAAACTTCTTAAGGTTCTTGTTTACGCCTCGTACACTCCACATTTCGATATCTAAATTATACGAAATGTGTAAAAGACGCTCCATGCTTCGAATCCACATATGGAGTGTTGATAATCCATATTGATATACGTCTTCCCGCACAGGTCTTAAAAACATTTGAGAAAGATTATTCATCTCGCTTGGTTTTGCAAGACAAATCTTGCAAGTAGCTGCAGAGGGAGTATTTGTAATTATTGTCGTCACTTTCCCATCAATCATTGTCATGTGTAGCTCATGAGTAACTTCCAAGTTTCCGAAACTTGAAACAGTAAAATTTTGTATTTCTTCCTCCATTGCCGCTTGTTCTTGCTTAACAAAGTCAGTTGTTTCCTTCGCAAACTGAAATTTAATAGGTCTGCAATAAAACGTTGAAGATGGCTTTGGATTATCCCAAATAACAATATTTTCGGCCTCTAGTTTCAGGGGAACGAGGCTCGTCATGAACACAGAGGAGTCGTCGAATTCTGCCATTTCACTTCTTTGCTTGTAGTTGCTCTGTGCTGAAGAACCATCAAATCCCCATTTGCTGGTCAGCTTCAAGCTTCCACGGATTTCCCGTCATTTAAATCATCACCAACGACTTGCAAAATCCTTCGAGTTGTGACATCTAAAAGTGCTTGTAGTTTCACCTTCGCTCCATCTTCTGATATTATAATATCTCTGGCACATCTGGATAACACCTTTTCTTAGAGCTTTCTTCTAACAACTTGTGGTAAGACGGAAGCTTCATCTGTTGTGACAATGCAGACCTTAAAGTGAGGTACTTCCACTTTGAAAGATCCAATGAAGTACTTAGGACCAAAACTTGATCTTCCTGCATAGTCTCTTTCTTTTCGTTCATAAATAAAAATGATTCGACAACTCCAACCTTTTCAAGCTTCTTCATAAGATGATCGATGATGCGAGCGAGAACTTCTTTTCCATTAGACTTTAGTTTTGTGATGAAAGCAAAAGTCAGTTCCTCT